GAGGTTTCTAATTAATTTGGAAATTTTAGGAAAATTATTTTACATGATAAAGAATTTATTTGAGGCATAAAATCCTTAAAATGGATTAAGAATTAATTTCTAGAGTCAATGGCTATTTTCCTAGAAGATTAAAAAAAAAATAGTTAGGAGTTGATTTTAATAAAAAAATTTTAGGAAAACTATTTTATGGGTAAGATAATAGAAGAAGAAAAAGTTAGTAGTAGCTTCACCCAAGAGGGGGTGTATTGGGTGATGTATAAAAATTTAACTAAATAAAATAACTGAACAAATAAAACAGTAGAGATGAGTTTGGAAAGTTTCACCGAAGAATGAAGACATAAAGTCTAGACTTGTTACACCTTACTTCTAGTACAGTTTAGAATTTATTCTGAGGCATTTTAAACCACATTGAATGGTCTTGGGCTAAAAAATATCCACAAAATGCTGATTTTCAGATTTTTACTGTTCATGTGGTAAAAATCCAGTTTTCTAGTCTAACTTCAAAAAATCATAACTTAATCTAAAAAAATCAAAATGGAGTGGTTCAAAATTCTATGAAAACCTCTTTGAATTCCCTATCAAGGAAAAATAATTTTAGAAATTAATCCCTTATGAGAAAGTGCCATATGTTTGTGAAATCAACTCTGTCATTTTGATAAAAACCCTTTTTCCAGATTCTGGATCTTAACTTTGAAAAATCACCAAAAATCATATAGTTGTCCATTTTTAATGTGCTACCTATTGATCTGAAGCCAAGAACGTGAACTACATTCATACCAAATTTTGAGATTTAATGCATTTGGTAACTTAATAAAAACATAGCTCCAAGTTGGCATCCTACTTGGGATTACAGCATCCCATCATCATATATTTATATAACCAAAATGTAGTTGTTTCCTCATGCATCACCACCACAAATACCCTTGAATTTGCAGCTTCCCTTTTTGTGATTCATCCCTAAATTGTTAGGCTACAAATGGGGGATGAGATTTTAATGAAATCCCAGTAACAAGATCAATCAACCAAAACATCAATATGCATCATTATTAAGCATTTCACATTAGTTATTATAAGAGAACTAATCTTCTTATAAATAGACAACCTCAACATGCAAGGCCATGACAAAAAATGCAAGGAGCAACCATATCATAATCATCATAGTTCAACTATACAATGACAAGCATTCATGCCATAAACAACAATGCAAAGTTAACATTAGTAGCTAATTAAATCCCACTACCTTAATCCAATACTCTTTGATTCTTTGACCTTCTTCCTCTTCTCCACAATTAACGAACCCTAACAAGATAAATCACACAAGGGTAACAAGATTACTAGCCACTTCACATAAAAATTAACAACATAGCTCAAGTAACTCCTAAACCCCTTAAAGCTTCCATCTTTGTTCTTTGAATTTTTAGAGTTTGTTTTTTTAACCCTAAAAATTCTCTCTTGACCCATTCAAATGGTCAATCCCAATTAGGCGAGGTGAGAATGGGGGGCATTATAAGCCTCTCTTTTAGCATGTCAAATGCTTCCTTACAGTCATCATTAAATATAAACTCAGCATCCTTCTGCAAAAGCTTAGATAGAGGTAAAACAATTTTACTGAAATCTTTTATGAACCTCTATAAAAACCTACATGTCCTAAAAATGATCTAACTTCTTTTAAATTTGTAGGATATGGTAATGAAGATATAATTTCAATTTTTGCTTTATCCACCTCTATTCCTTTGCTAGATACTAAGTGGCCTAATACGATTCCTTCATTAACCATAAAATGGCATTTTTCATAATTTAAAACCAATTTTTTCTCCACAAATCTAGCAAGTATCTTATCTAAGCTATCAAGGCATGTATCAAAGGAATCCCCATATACCGTAAAGTCATCTATAAAACATCCATGCATTACTCCAACAAGTCAGAAAATATAGACACCATGTAACATTGGAATGTGCCTGGAGCATTACATAACCCAAAATGTATCCTTCTATAAGCATATGTACCAAAAGGGCATGTGAATGTTGTCTTTTCTTGATCCTCTAGTGCTATGGGGATCTGAAAGTATCCTAAAAAGCCATCAAGAAAATAGTAGTGAGATCTCCCTACTATTCTTTCAAGCATTTGATCAAGAATAGCGAAGGGAAGTGATCTTTCCTAGTGGCTTCATTTAACTTTCTATAATCAATACAAACACGCCATGAATTTTGCACTCGAGTAGGTATTAATTCATTATTTTCATTTTTAATTACTGTAATACCACTTTTTTTAGGAACTACCTGAATAGGACTGACCCGCTCACTATCAAAAATAGGATAAACAATTCCAGTATTTAAAAGTTTAGTTACTTCTTTCTTTACAACATCAAGTATAAGTGGATTAAGTCTTCTTTGAGGTTGCCTAACAGGTTTGGAATTTTCATTTAATAAAATCCTGTGAGTGCAAATAGAAGGATTAATTCCTAGAATGTCAGCTAACATCCAACCTATAGCATATTTATTTCTTTTAAGAACAAAAATCAATTTAGCCTCTTGATTTACAGTTAAAGAATTAGTGATAGTTACAGGTAACTTCACATTTAATTCTAAAAAAGCATATTTTAAATTAGAAGGTAGAGGTTTTAATTCCAAATCAGGGGGTTGAACAATAAAAGAAATTAATTTTGAAACATAAGTACTCCCCTAGACATTTGGCATTGAATGGCATGATGACTTATCATAGGAGGCATCTTTTGCTTCTTCAACCTTCTCAAGCATTGAATCTATTTTGTTCAGAGCTTTGTTGAGCTTAGATCCTTCATTATTCTCTAATGCAATTTGTTGCATAAAAGGTAATGTATCCAGAGGAATAGGAATCCTTTCATTCAAAGAGGAAGAAGAAAAAGAAGATTAAGACATAGGGGATGAGGACGAAAGGAAAGATGTAGGGGATGAAGAAAAGGAGGAGTAATTAGGAGGAATTGGCATAGTGTTCCCTTCTTCAATATATGGTTGTCTTTGTGTTTCAAATTTATAAGAAGATGGAATGGATAGATAAGGGGATTTACTTGTAATTGGATCATCTACCCACTCCTTCAAATCTGCAAATTCAAAACAAAACCTTCCTCGAAATCATCGCTTATAAAAGGCAATAAAAGAGATGAAGATATAGATGAATCACATGAAGAAAGATAATTATCGATTTCCAAACAAGCATCACATATAATCTCATCATCATAAGAACAAGAAATAGAGGAAGATAGTGGAGAACAAATTTCTAGCCATTTATTCAAATTAGAATCATGTTCATCAGTTGCTTCATCAATAGATAAATCAATTGCATTTACTCCTAATAGTGAATAATCCTCATAAGGGTGTTTCATAGCCTCATACGTGTTAAAATTGATTTTGTTATGTCCCATTTCCATGGTGATTGACCCATCTTTCATATTAATCATAGTACACGCAGTGCATAAGAAAGGTCTACAAAGTATTAATGTGCCATTATGTGATGTTTCTCTAGACATATCTAACAGATAAAAATCAGCAAGAAATACCAAACCTTTAACTTGTATAAGAATATCTTCTAAAATGCCATCAGAATGCCTAATAGTTCTATCAGCAAGTTACAACACCACACTAATTGATTTTATATTCTTAATTCCAAGTAATATATATATATAGATTTAGGCATAACATTGATGGCTAGATCTAACAGCCCAGTTAATATTTATTTTACCAATAGCACAAGGTATAGCGAAAGATCTGGGTTCTTGGCATTTAACAGGTAGCTGAGGTTTGAATAGTGTAGAAACATTAGAGCTAATTTGTACTCTTTCATTAGGTTTAAACTTTTTTTATGAGTATATAAATCCTTAAGGAATTTAGCATATTTAGGCATGGTTTGAATTAACTCTAATAAAGGAATATTAACCTCAACCTTTTTAAACAATTCAAGCACCTCTTTATCTTGCTCTTTTTCAAAAATCCTTTTACGTGAAAGATAAGAATTAGGAAAGGGGATGTCTTCAATGCTTACCTCATTAGGTGCAGTAGAGGGGGTTTGCTTCTTAAGTGCCTTTTCCTTCAAGCTTTCTGATCACACAGTAGGAGCAGTAGTGACATCTTCAGTGGCGTCATTTCCCAGCCCAATCATATCATTAGTGGCATCAATTTGGAGACCTTCAGTAGTGTCCTTTTTGTCATCTCCTTCATCAAAATGAACTTGCTTTTTAATCCTTAATGTGATAGCATTTAAAGGCCTGGGATTAATGATAGTATTAGAGGGAATAAATCCTCCCACCCTTGCTTGCTACTCATTTTGGCTGTTAGACAACCTTGTCACAAATTCACTAATATTACCAACCTTTGTTTCTAGAGCAACTTGGTTTTTAGTAAGATCTTGCACAACCTTTAAGAGAACACTAAGTTGATCATCTGTCTTGGGAGCTTGTTCATGCTAAAAGTTCCCATATGGTTGTGTTTGTCTCGGAGGAGGTTGTTACTTTTCATGATTATTTCTATTGTCTCCTCCACTATCCCTAAGGTTTGGATTCATCTTCCACCCCTCATTGTAAGTATTAGAAAATAGGTCCCATTTTTAATTAAGTCTCCCCTGGTACTTAGCAGAAACCTCTTCAACATTATAGGGGCATGTGGCAGTAATATGTGTGAAAGAGTTGCATATTTCATAGCTAGTAGGCATAAGTTCACGCGTTGCAGCATAAGAAGGGGAGACCATATTAGCTTTAATATCATTTACTGCTATAGTTAAAGTAGCCAATTGTGCATCTACATTTTTCATCTCATGATTAAATGTAAAAGAGGTAAGTTGACTTGTTGTTTGAGTACTTCAGTCTCTAGTACCATATTGTTGATTATTCATTGCTCTTTTCTCAAGCATCTCCCATGCATTTTTGTGCTGTAAGATCTAATAAAGATCCTCCCAAGGAAGCATCAATAGTAGCTTGCTCATGCCCTAATAATCCCTCATAAAAGTATTGAATAAGGTGTTTTTCGGGGATTTGATGATGAGGGCACTTGCTTAGTAGCTCTTGAAAGCAGCTCCAAAACTCATAGAATGTCTCCTGTGGGTCTTGTTTGATTGAATAAATTTCTTTTCTCAAGCTGGTCGTGTGTGATGCAGGAAAGAATCTCTCTAGGAAGGCTTTCTTCAAGTTATTCCATAAATTGAATGTATTAGCAAGGTGTTTTGGTAGCCTAAGATACCATTCTCTTGATTTCCCTTCTAACGTTAAGTGGAATACTCTCTATTGAATCTCATCAATATTGGCCCTAGCAGGTTTTGGGGTTGCACAATTTATTTGTAGGCTCATCAAGTGCTCATGTGGGTCCTCTCCTAGAAGACCATGAAATTTGTGCAAGTTACTAGTACATGACCTTTGATTTCAAAATTAGAATTAAAAGTAGGATAGGCAGCATATCTAGGATTATAGTCGGTAACTGAAGATGTCAATTCTCTTATGATCCTAGTAGGCCTATCCTTAGGATCACGTTCACCATCCATTAGGTTGTTATAAACAATTTTATAATTTTGCATAGAGCCAACAAATTCAGAATTAGAGATACTAGGTGAACTAGACTCACTAATTTCCTTATTACTGGAAGTACTAACTTGGTTGATTTTATATAAAATTTGTTTTCTACACAACCTAAAGGTTCTTTCACCCTCAGAATCAAAAGGGACTAAAGTAGTATCCCTAGGCATGCATAGAAATTCGCAGCATAGTAAAATCACGTTTAAAAAATTAAAAATGAGTCAAAATAAACTTGGCTCCCCGGCAACGGCACCAAAATTTGATCGCCCTATCATGTAAGCTCTCAAATTACTTAACTAAATTAACCCTATATAGTATAGAGGTCAACTTAGGTCGTCTTTCTCAATGAGGAGCTTTGTTAAAATTTTGAAAACCTTTTTAATTAAGAAAAACGTGATGTAAAGAAGGAATGAGTATGAAAGAAAATTGATTGAGTTTTTAAGAAAATAACAGTAAGTAAAAGAAAACGAAAGGAATGAAGACTTTAACAAAATGATGTACTTCCCGAGGATGTTGATGAGTGGCTATCATGGTTCAAAAGGATGAGAAGTTTGTATAAAAACAATTACTAAGTCAAAAAAAAACCCTAGAACATCTAAGTCGTGATTAATTAATAATAATTATACCTAGAAAGCTAGCATATAATCACCTTTCAATTAATCATTTAAAAACCACTTAGGTTGTGAATTTAATTAAACAATTATATCTTGTTCCTAAAGAGAGTTATCTATCGAAAACCCTAAAGCATGAACTACTTGTGCAGGTCAAAATAGAAATCTATAAAGATAAACACTCATAGAATCATGAGGAAACTGAAAATATATTCATTAAAGCTTCAAAATATAATTGTTCAACTAAAACACAAATCAAATATCAGTCCACAAAAGAAATCAAAATCCTAACCTAGGAAATTCATAAAAGCAACGTACTCGTGGATTGAAATAAAAAAACCATCAAACTCCCTAATATAAACAGGAACTCAAGCCACGTCATCTTGTCCTCAGGAACAAAGAGGACTAGCCACACATATGGCTAGATGACACCATGATGATAAAAGAAAATAATAAAAAGACAGTGAAATAATTAGACATAAGAGGAAGCCAAGTGTATGCTTGTGCTTGTGTAGTGTAGATGGCTTCGTTGCTTCTCTAAGACTCCTTTGATCTCCTTTTATAGCTCTTGAAATCTGTCCTAGATAGATAAGGAAACCTTTGAGTCTTCTAGCTTTATCTTTTATCTTCTTTTATCTTGTAATCTTGATAGAACTTTAAATTTGAATTCTCTTGATTTGGTGTGAAGTTCATGGCATCCAAAGTTAAAGGACTTTTGAATTTAAATGATATTGAATAAAACTTGAAATCAAAGTAAAAATACCTTTCAAAAGGGAAATTATAAAAAAATATAATAAAAGATACACTTTAAGGCAATTAATTTATATAATTTCTATAATTCAAAATATGAATATTTTCTGCATTTTAAACCCTTTAAACATTATAAAATCCCTTAATTATATTATAAAATAGAGATATATCACTCGGTCTACTGTGACCTCAGGAGCTACTGCGCTCTACCATAAGCTTGTTCAAGATCCATGGTGACCCTGGAATACTATCATCACTTTGAGCCATTTTAAGATCTCTGGGAGACTCTGACCACAGGGTTGAGTAGTAAAATAAGTCACCTCCACTTAGTTGGTAACTTGACTGATCATTCCCTAAGACTGTTCTAATAGCCAATATCATTCTCTTAAGCCTCTTTCAATTCTCCAGGCCACCTATCTGCTTCTTTAGGTGCCTGAGTCAATCTACCTTAGGAGTTCTCTTACTCTTCTAGCTGCTTTTACCATTCTTAGCTACTTTAGAATGGTACAAGAAAAGGAATTATGTAACTTCTCTTTCCAGTATGAGCATACTCGAATATGCATAATGCCTGACATTTCAATGCAAAGAGTACAAGCTCTTACTGGTTGCCATGTCTGTAGCGTGCCATCCAGACATCTTATCCCTAAAAAGGGAGCCTCTCTTGTTGTTCGCAGTTGATTCTAGAAGTTATAGGGAGAGGACTTATGAGGTTTTCTTCTTTCTGCTTGCCCTTCTCCATTAATCTCAGGGACATTCAACTCCACTTGCCTTGCCTCGACTGTTCCCCTTTCCTACTTAGACAAGGTATCCTGCTCCATTTAGAGCAGTGTCAACCCTGACTGAGAGCACGAATCTCCCAATTTCTCTAGGAAGACTCATAACTAAGACCATATCCTCTATGAAGGGTACCTCTCAACCTAATCCCAAGTGACTAAGTATCTCTTAACATTATCAGGAACATGTCAACCTCATAATGCTAGTTCCTGCACATATCTATCTATCTCATTCTCATCTCTTTCTCTTCTTCTTGATCCCCAAAAATTCTACTAGGGCTATCCATCTTGAGTTTACTATCTCCAAGTTCCTATTTATTTGTTCAAGATAGCTACTCTATCGTGGTGTCCCAGCCCTAATGAGGTTGTAAGAGTTTGTCCAGCTTAGGTGGCCACTACACCCTCTTAGTGGTATACAGACTCTACCCCTAACTATCTTATTCAACTCCTTATCCTTACTCTTCCTCTTGAGGGGGGAATCTGATAGCTTTAAATAGTGGCTACCTCTCTGATCAATGGCCAGACTGTTTCTTTCCGGATTGTCAAGAAAGAGAGTTGTACCAGATAAAATACAGTATAGGATGCAACCAGTCATTCTTCTCGAGGAGATTGTTATTGGAAATCGTAGTCTAAATTGGTTTTCAAAAAACATTGTAAAAAGGGGGTTTTAGTTGTTTTAAAAGTAGTGCTACAAATGTAAAGTGCAGAAAGTTAACTATTTTTGGTATTTTAAATGAATGAAGAAATGTTTTAGATTAAAAGGGAGTTATGGTTAAATGGTCTCTTGATGATAAAAACTCAACTATCACTGCTCCTTTGAATGATTTGGAGTTTTAGAAAACCTCTAAGTTTGAAGAAAACCTAAAGTAATCACTTAGGTCCAATGTTTTAATTAATGAAAACTCACTTTAATCAAAGTTAATTAACATCTCTTAAGACACTGCTCAAAACCACTTAGAGTGTAGATGAACGAATGATGCAAATGTCCCTTGAATGTCAATTGACAAACACAGAATACCAATCATGCAGATTAATTACAATAATCGCTAAAAATCAAACTGAACACAAGGATTCAAAATGAAATATTATATAGATTAATCAACATTAACATCATCCAACCCAAATACAATATAATAATCTAAACACCAGATTTACAATCATAAACCAAGTTTGATACAAGTGCAAAAAGTTCCTAAATCTAGAAATATTCAACACAGCATTAAACAAAGGTTTAGACTATAGGAAAAAAACTCCCCGATTAGATCATTGAGCTCAAGCTTCATTCTCCATCACCAAGAGGCTAAGGGGTTTAGCCTCTCATGCCTTCAAACTAATCGCAATTGCTCCAGGAATGAATAGCCATGGTTGAAGCTAAAAATGAAGTTGGAAAAATGGATAAGAAGGGTGTTAGAATGGTTTGATTGGTCCAAAATGTCAGAAAATGATGAAGAGATGAAGAAAAATGAAAGTTCTGGGTGTAGGATCAATGGAGACTTGAGAGGAAATGATGGTGGCTCAACCTTGTGCAAATCTACAGAATGGAAGAGTATCTTTTCATGGTGGCTGCCCCCCTTAGGTATAGAAGCTCAGAAACCTATTCCAAAACGCACAGCTTCACTTAACGCACTCAGGTCACGACCCCAGGAATGTAAGGTGTCACATCCAACATTATGATAATTAGAGATGAGAAATATTCTCAAATTATTGAGGATTAAAAACTGATAAGGAAAAGTCAAAAGATTTTGGTGGAAAATAATTACAGTAATTTTCCAAGCCAATTATAGGAAATTGACTAATTAAGGAAAATTGGTCAAATGTGAATAAGGAAAAATATTTTCGAGCATTGGAAAATTAAGGAAAAATAGGGATAATATCCTTTGAGGGTTATACTAAATTATAAAGTTGGTGTTATGACCAAATTACCCTTAGAGAAATTATAAGAGCATTTCAAGGTGATTTAGGCTAATTAAGGGATTTTATTTGGAAAATTCCAAATAAATATTTTTAGGGGAAATAAAAGTCCAAGAAAATTCCTATGAGATCCCAAGGAATTATAAGGAATTATGGAATTAAATGAAGACCCTCAAGTGCCCAAGATTTTTCTAAATAAATGTGAAAAGTGGAAAAATCTCTAAAGGGAAGGAAATTAATTTTCCTTTATATTTAATTATTTGGAACTTAATTTTGAGACAAAGAGGGCAATTTGGGAAGATAAAAATGAGGAGATTAAATTAAGGATCTGACAAAAAATAATTACAGAGGTTAAGCTACTGTAATTATAGAAAAGAAGTTAAACTCAGAGCCTAAAGTATACCGATAAAGCAAGATTGGTGTCTTGCAAATCCAAGGGATCTTATTGAGCCATGTGGCAAGTTCTTGAAGAAGATTTGAATTAGCCAAGTGTCATTCCATAAATGGAGAGGATTTTGACTTTAAT